TAATAATAATACCATTACTACTACTACTACTATAACTACTACTACTACTATAATTACTACTAGTACTATAACTACTACTACTATAACTACTACTACAACTATAACTACTACTACTGTAACTACTACTACTATAACTACTACTGTAACTACTACTACTACTACTACTACTACTACTACTACTACTACTACTACTACTACTACTACTACTACTACTACTACTACTACTACTACTACTCGTGAGATACTGCTGCGAGTGTTCGTACTGCAGCAGCTGATACTACTTCTGCTCCTGCTACTACTATTGCCGATGATATATCCACAGCTCAGTGACATGAATACTTCTGATGATAATGCTGAACCCTTTATAATCCTCATCAGCATTGTCTCAATGACATATACACAATATACGTGCAAAACATTCACACCCATACTTTTACCGTTGAAATTTTTTTTTTCCCCATCTTTTTCTTTAATTGAATCTTCTGCCGAGCTATGGCAACTCCCAGCATGTTGTTGTCATCCGGGCCACGCATGCGCAGTGCGGCCGCGACGGTCTTCCTCAGAGGTCATATCTACGCTCCGCCCCAGGGCCACACGTGGAGAGACTGGACTGCTGGCTGGGATGTTGGCTGAGTTGAAGAGAGTTGCTAATCCAAGGTCAGGTGGAGCGGCCGCTTTGCAATGCAGTGACACATGGCCTGGCCGGTGTTGCCAAGCAGCTGTTAGAAAACGTTGGTGGTAATGTTTTGGTTATGCATTGCTTGTGCATGACCAATTCTTTAAACAATGAAGTGTCTCTCTTTGGATTTGTTTCCTTGGCGCGTTGAAGTCTCTCATCGCCGTTAGCAAAACCTGTAATAGTAAAGAGTTGTAATAATAATAATGACGATAATAATGACACGATAAAAATAATGATGATAATGATAATGTTGATGAATATAATACTACTACTGATACTACTACTATTACTAATGATAATGATAATTTATGTCTGTGTATACATACATGTGTGTGTGTGTGTGTGTGTGTGTGTGTGTGTGTGTGTGTGTGTGTGTGTGTGTGTGTGTGTGTGTGTGTGTGTGTGTGTGTGTGTTTTATATTAT